CACCTGGAGGAAACACACACCAACACAGAGAGAACATGCAAACTCTACACAGAAATGCCAACTGGCCAAGCCAGGATTCGAACCAATGACCTTCTTGCTGTTGAGCCACCATGCCACCCAAACTAATTATTAATTATTATTATTATTTTTTCTCTTAAGACTTAAATGCATAATTGTAACTTTTTTATTAGGATATCTGTACTTTTACTCAAGTAATAAAGTAGGTCCATAATGACAAGCCAAATCAATGAGGATACATTTGATTATATTGAATTTAATGTTCTATAGCTTTTCAATAGGTGGGGACAAAAGGTTTAGTAAAAGATGAATGTAAACCTTGTGGGTTTGTAAAAACTAACACAGTCTAGCAGACAATTTATAATATTTTTATTTAGTTGCTCATTTGAATTTGTACAGTCTCATTCATAAATTTAGGACAACATTTTTTAAGGTTAAGGGTTAAGGATCTATGTTTTCATACAAAATATTCATTCATTCATTTATTCATTTTCTTGTTGGCTTAGTCCCTTTATTAATCTGGGGTCGCCACAGCGGAATGAACCGCCAACTTATCCAGCAAGTTTTTATGCAGCAGATGCCCTCCCAGCCACAACCCATCTCTGGGAAACATCCACACACACTCATACACTACAGACAATTTAGCCTACCCATTTCATCTGTACCGCATGTCTTTGGACTTTGGGGAAACCAGAGCACCCGGAGGAAACCCACGCGAATGCAAGGGGAACATGCAAACTCCACACAGAACACCAACTGAGCCGAGGCTCAAGCCAGCGACCTAGCTACCTTCTTGCTGTGAGGCGACAGCACTACCTACTGCGCCACTACTTCGCCCATACAAAATTTAATACAGATAATTTAACATATTTTTTTCTTTCTGTCCCTTTAACATGTACAATACGTGTTGAAATGAATAAATATCAATCAATTGAATGATTAATAAATGTTGTAGGAGTATTTTTCACTATTACTTCATGTTAACTAATGTAATGAACTACTCTAACCCAAAAAATAACATTTACTCAATATTTGCTCACACTTAAGTGGTTCCAAACCTTTATGAGTTTCTTTGAGATCAGAAGAAAATATTTGAAGAAATAGTTTAACCATTGACTTACAGGTTTTCCACTTTCTTCAAAGCATGTCTTCAACAGAAAAAAAAAGAAAGTCAAACATGTTTGTAAATGACATTAAATGATAACATAATTTTCAGTTTTAACCATGCCTTTAATGTTAGTGTTTAGACATTTGCTATATGAGTAATAATGTAACACTGCAAAAGTAACACCACTGAAAGGGGATAGTAAATCACATAAAAAGCTGTTCATTCATACTCTACAAGTTACTGTGCTCACAAATATTTGCATATTATATACATGATCTCTATCAAACAAGAAATCTCAGTGCTCTTGTCCTCAATGTATTTGCAGATGCGTATTAAAATCTGAGAAACAATCTGAACAAATGTGTCAAATGCACCAATTGTGTAATATCTGAGATAGGACCTGACTAACTAGTGCGCTGAATCATTCCAGGTGGCAAAATGACTTGTGGCCGTGTCCCTCTGGAACTAATCAATAAGGTTTATTCTCACCCTCTAAGCCAGCACACAGACTGATATGAGTGATTTATGGGACAGAATTAAACTAATACCAATAATGGCATTTTCTATGCTGCTTAACAGCTGGTTTGTCGCTCCTATGTGAGCTCAAAGGTGTGAAAATGACTTTTGAGTCATTCATGGGAATTAAAGTCTCCGTCTGAGATTCGTGGTACTTGCAGTGGTCCATGTTAGGGTCAGCAGCATATGAGAATACTGAAGGTAGAAATAAAGCCTATATGACGGCACGGGAAAAAAGCCTATTAGCAGATGAAGACATCTCAATATGCATGTGAGATTCACCAGTAGATCCCAGTCCATTGATCTAGGGCTATTACATCTTTGTGACAGATCAGGAGACATGGTGATACTATATGACCTTGTTATGTTACATTATCATTTAACCCTTAAAGACCGAGACAGCCGCCCGCGGCTAAAAATAAGTATTGCTCTTAAATGTTTAATAACTTTTGATCCGCTGATCCGATTCATACAATTCAAAGATTGGCATAAAGAAGAGAATCTCAGCTTTCCAGTGCTGTATCACATAACATTCGCGGACTTTCAGAGGCTCCGGAATCAGTGCGGTTACGTCATCAAAATTTGTCAACGCTGATTTGACAAAGAAACGCTCGTCACTGTGTCTCAGGACAAACCAGACATCATACATTGATGCATTGACCCTCCTCCATGCCCAGATTGGTTCAAACTCGCTATATCACAACCAATAAGCATAGGTTTCGCTTTTGTTTCTGGACCAACAAGCTTTTTGAACAACACGGAATGAGAAATAGCCATACATTTATGCGCGGCTAAATAAAACGCAAAAAAAAAGTTTTGCATGAAATAATTCTCATACTAAGTACTTTTGCATGCACAGCAGCACAGAAAGATGACAAAACAGTGACACAGCAAAGACGAACTGCTGCTCTTGCTGTTTTCAAAAGACGCAAATGAAGGTGCAGCTGTTTGTCTGCATTGCAGACAACCATATCCATATCCACAGACAACCATATCCATGCTGGCACATAAAACCTAAAGATGTTCCATATTGAATCTAGTTTAGTTATATAACTATTTATAGTATAGTAAATATTTATATCTATTTTTTACTGAGGATTTGCACCATGTTTATTTGGACTTTGACACATTATTTATTATTTTCTTATTTTTTTATTTGTTCATTGTAAGTGGTGTTGTTTATAGTAACTGAAAATATATTATTTGGAAAAAGTGAAATTTGCTCCACTGTTCTATTATTTTTTAACATTTTTTTCTGTTTAGTTCATTCCCAGAACTTTTGAGCAAATACATTGTCAGTAAATAAATGCATTTTTTTCCCCCATAAAAAAACGCCTTGGAATAACATTGAAATAAATTGCTATAACTTGCTCAGGGAATTGTGGATGTAGACAAAATTTATTTTGGAAGTATAAAACATCATGGCATGTATTTCTAAAGAAAGAAAAACAAACTTCATAAGGTTTTGTTTGAAATAACTAGAAAATGCCACTTTTTTTAAAAATCGTTTCTGGAAAATTCTGGAATATTTTTGTTTTTGTTAATGTTTTTGGACCAAAAAATATTTTAGACTGGACCTTTAAATGATACAGATTGAAACTTCAGGTTCTCCTGTTTAAAATGATATATGACACTTGAGGCTGACTGCTAAAATAAAAATAAAACTGCTTTTTAAAAAAATAATAATATAGGCCCATTAGGTGCCCACAAAATACCTCTAGGTCTTTAAGGGTTAAAAATATAGAAACTAAGACTGTTAAAATTCATGTTAAATGCTTTGTTTTCTGGTGGCTCCAATGCATCAAAAGGGCTCAGAGTACTTGACAGCACATGTCTAACCATTAGATGTCGAAAACATCTAAAGTCTAGATCTCTCATGGAGCATATATTACTTACACATGTAGTGTGTAAATGAAAAAATGAAAACTGGGGTCACCACAAAGGCACAGTGAAGCAAAGTCTTACAGGCAGCCAGGGAATAGACTAATGTAGCTGTACATGTTCTAGAGTGGATTGCAGAGTCTATGCAATTCCCCCCCCCCACCTTTTCAAACTAAAATTCCAGTTATAGGGGCTGGATTTTATATGTCTTTGGTTTGAGCTGTTTGGGAGGTATACTTTACTTAAACCAGTAACAAGAATGATAAATATAGCATATGATGTGAATGATGAACAATATAATACATATTAAGCGTGTCATTATTTCAGAATGTCAGTATAAACCTACCTGGAAAATGTAAAGTGGATTTTTAGATTTGTGTTGAAGTGGTAACAATGTAGCTTTCAGTTTATTTATTTTTTATTTGAGAAAGAGAAAGTAAACATAAATATTTTTATTTCTGGTTTAAGTTGTTACCTAATACTAAGGTATTATTAATTTTAATATGACCTGGAATGCAGTCATAAGTATCAAATTGTTTCATTTAATGTAGGACAATATATGTGGTTGAGAAAAAATTATTTGAAAATTACCAATCAGAAAAAATTGGTGGTATATATGGAATGCATTAATGGAACATGACCTTTATTTATTATTCTAAGGTTTTTTTTATTATTTTTTTTTATTACAATGTACTGGCTATTGTTAAACTTTACTCATGAAATAAGTCATGTTATGTTATAATTTAATTTAACATAAATCTGTTATAACATTCAGTAATGTCTGGGGAAATGTTTTTGTTTTGTTTAATTGACAATTATTCGGACGCTAATGTTTTTTAGGCATGAGAAAGAGCATTATTAATATATTAACTTTTCTACGGTGACCAACTGTATAAAAACATCAGATATTTTTAGACTATTTAAACAAGTTTTGACCACTCTTAGAAATGCAATCCTTTTTATCCACATTTTATCAAATGTTTATTACCAATGTTACTAACAGGGATAATCACATAAATAAATATAATAATTATTTTTAATTTATTTATTAATTTATTAATTAAGTAAGTAAGTAAGTAAGTAATAAAACCGAACAAACATAAATTACAGTATTTATTAAATTCAAATTACTATAGCACTGAAACAATATAAATTTATGTCAACAATAACTTATTTTTATGTGTTAAATAAAATGTTCTTTAATGCAACAGTAAATTGCAGGTTAACGCTTATCCAAAAAGTTTAAATTATTTATTTGTTAATAACAACTTTATATTTCATAAAAAAGTGACCAAAAGTTGGTCGTGTGTGTGTATGTGTGTGAGTGTATATCCTCAACTTCTTTTGAAATGGTTAAATGACTGTCTTTCTTCCTCAGTGAAGGGGTTTAAAGGGTGGGAAGGCGCTTCTGTGGAGGTAACGGGACTCACTACACGTGAAAAGTGGGTTTGACATTGGGAGTTTGAAAGTGGACAGAGACGCAGTGGGGTTTGTGCCTCCCAGCTTCCCGTCAGAGAAATATCACCGTTTACCAACCTGAAAGTGACTTTAGAATTTTCCCGTGACATTTACATCAGCACTGGAAATACCGCGAGGAAACAATGTAAAAGTCTCAGCATGGGCGCACGCATGTTGTTGGATCATGCCGGTGATTTTTTATGAAGAATATTTCATATATTTTTTTTCTTCATTGTTTTCATAAATTATGTTTTTGAAAACGGTCGCCTGAGTTGCTTGGACTTTGAGGAATAAAAATTACTTGACGGATTCATTTAACATGGAATCAGTGGATGAATAAATCATATTTCCGATACTCGTAAACTGCAATTGCCCTTTTAATTGTTCGTCTTATTGCTGATGTCAGATGGACCGATTTTCATACAGAAATATACAGCAACAGAGGAATTGATGAAGGACTTACTGTTTCGGATGATTATCAGACAGGGTTTGGAAATCTCACAATGAGGCTGAAATCATCGAGGTTAGGTTACCTGTAAGTACACCACTTATATGTAGTCATTTCTATAGTTGTTTATTTTTGTATGATTTTAAAGAAGTAATAAATTTGGTTTTCCCGCACTCAGATTTCTTCAATTCATGACTCTGTGTTTTTACACTCAGGTAAGTCGATTTTTTTCACAAACAAGCTTTTTTTATAATTGTAATTGTGTTGGTGCTATAGGACAATTCCAGAATATAATATAATAATCAAAATATCAGAATCAATTGTTTCATTTGATTGTTTCAGCAATCAAAATTTTTACAAACATAGTAAGAAATGAAATTAGAAGGATGCCTGCAGCACAACTTTTCAGTTTACTTCTATTTGACCCATATAGACTCACCAGAATAAGACAGGTGTGGCATTTGTGAGAGTGACAAACATTGTTTGTTAGCATGTAGTTTATGTATTTTAATATTTGTTCCTAAATTATTCAGTTGCTTTTGATGAAATGTTTCTTTTAGTTTAATATTTGCAAATAAGTGAAAAATCCGGTTGAGGTGATCATACACAATAATAAACACTAATAACCTTAAAAACCTTTATTTTTCCATTTTATATTAGTACTTAATTTTAGCATTTTTTTGTACCTAGCATTAATTTTCACTCTTTATAATTTGATACAAGTCATTATTTATATACAAATATGCATAACAGTCATACAATTCAAAGCAAACACTATGCATTGAGTTACAAGTGTTAAAACAAAACTAAACAAAAAAGCCAAATTCTCTCCTACAAATATTTTCCAGGCAAGCATCAGCAAGATACACCGAAAGTAATACAAAGTTACCCACATTAATCATGTGATTTTATATGTGCGCTGTAAATGTGTTATAACCGTGCAAACAACTCATTATTAATAGAGTCATTGGCAAATTGTCAAACATCTTGAAAAGACGTGAACCCCTCGCTTTAAAGGTAATGGCTCTAACATGTGGGCACGGCGCATGACTGGCTTACAAAAGAAAATCATTATGGGAAAGGCCTGTGAAACTGGGGTGAAAGATCATTGTTGGTCGAAATGACCCCTCATTGGCATCTTTTTTAGAGTGTGGATAGTGCACTTGCCCCTGGAATGCCAACTAAGTGAAGCCACATATGGAATCATTCGAAAATCAATCGATTCTGATGAGAAAGTTGCAGTTCATATTGTTATTGGAATATACATGTCACACGCTACACTTTAAATAATCAGAATATAGTTCTTCTTTGTTCTTCTGTTTAAAAAATCTGCATGTTCTTCTGTGTCATTTCCATAGATGACCATGCAGTCCATCTCTATGCCTAATTTTAAGCACCATGTAACGGAGCAGAGTCGTCTGTCAGACAGGATGAGTCGGAGATTAACAAGGACTTATCAGCTATATAGCCGAACCAGCGGTAAACATGTACAAGTCCTGGGTAATAAGAGGGTTAACGCCAATGCAGAGGATGGAGATATTCATGGCAAGTCACAGTTTTATAAGACACACATAATTTTTCTTTGTCATCTGCAAACAATAGAACAGAACAAGTCAGTTAAGAATATTATTTCAAGTTACTTTCAAGTATATCCAGTAAATGTCAATGCCAAAAGGTAACCTGCAAAGCTTGAAATGGATTCTATATTGTTGAGTACGGGGATCTCAAGAGAAACCCGTTACGGTTCTGGAAAACACATCAGTACTCATCTTACTTCTGCCGTCTTAACATTTCCTGAATAGTTCTCCATATAATAAAGAGTTGTACAATAGAAATATGACATATTGCTTTTTAACATCATTATTTTTCAGCTTTTGTGACTTTCAAAACAAATGTTTATTGCAAATGTTTCTATATTATGTGTGAAGCAAAATGATCTAATGTTTCAATCACTTGTTGAGAGTAATTTGCTGCAAAATGAGATGTATTTTATGCTAAACGAATGGTTGACATATGATTCATAGCATGGGCAATGTGAAGTCAATCTTATTTTATTAGAACTCAGTGTCAGTTTTAAACCTATACAGTAGGGCACCTGTTTTTAAGTGAGCCACGGCACTTCTTCTCCAAACAAAACAGTGGTTAGGATCCCATCCGCTGGGAATGAATTCCTGTCACCAAAGTATTTCTGCATGTCTAGCCATCTTTCCACTCGTGCAGTCCATCCACTTTGCCCACTTTTTTGGAGGGTCATTTTATGAGGAATTTTCATAGCTTTACAACTCAAGGTATGAGTCAGTTTATGAAGAGAGGTGAGGTCAGCGACATCGCTTTATACCCTTCTTTGTTACTCTTATTCTTTGTAGTCTTGGCCTAACACACATGCGCACACAGGTTTGTTTTTGTGATTTTTGGGACATTCCATAAGTTTGTTGGGTTTTATACTGTAAAAACAGATCTTTTTTACATTATCCACATGAAACTTTCTTTATTTTTTTACTTTCTAAAAAAGAAAAAAGTATTCTATATGATTTATAAGTATTTTTAATAAGTCACCTTCATTAATTCATTCAATTTATTTTCGGCTTAGTCCCTTTATTAATCTGCGGTCATCACAGCGGAATGAACTGCCTCATAAGTCACCTTGTCTTTGTAATACCTATACAAATGTGTGTCCTTATATGTCTCACACACACACACACACACAAATCTAAGCTTAATATTGGCATATACTTCTCACTGTGTGCCAACCCAGACTACATTAGAATAATAAAAATATCAGAACTCCCCAATCACATGCATCTTTCTTTATCATTTGTGTATATCACCTGAAAGCAAATTAAAAGTAACAGGCTTTTAATATTTGCAGCAAAACTTGTTGTGGAAACGGATACATTTGGAAGCCGGGTTCGAATCAGAGGGGCAAAAACAGGATACTATATTTGCATGAACAAGAAAGGCAAGCTCATTGGACGGGTGAGTAAATTAAATGTTTTTCAAGCTACCTTCCTTCACTTGTAGAGCATGGCACCAGAAACACCAAGGTCTTGAGTTTGATTCCCAGGGAAACTGATAAAACAATGTGCACCTTTAACACAAGTCACTTTGCAAAAAAGCGTTTGCCAAATGCAATGAAACAGCATTACTCACATGATGATATATAAAATACAGACAACTAAACTGGCTCAACTGGCACTGACTATATCGCAGGTAAACCCATCATGCCCTATGTGCAGAACTATGTCTCATAAATCTTTAAGTCTTCAATTGCAGATTTCTGAGTTTGTCATTTCAGTCGTCCGCTTTCTGTCTCTTTTTCCTGCCAGAGGAAGGGCCGTGGCAAGGATTGCATATTCACCGAGATCGTTCTGGAAAATAACTACACAGCTTTGCAGAATGCCAAGTACAAAGGCTGGTACATGGCCTTTACACGCAAGGGTCGACCCAGGAAAGCCATGCAGACCCGGCAGCACCAGAGAGAGGCCCACTTCATGAAACGTCTTCCTCGAGGACACCTATTAACAGAACAGAAGCCCTTTGATTTAATCCCATATCCCCTCAACAAGAGGACTAAGCACCATCAGCGCGCAAGCGTTAATTGAGGAAAGGGCAGCGTCTTATAATGGAGTACTATCTTAATTTGAGTTTATCTAATCTTTGTGCATTCAGAGTTTAATGGACATCACAGCAAAGCAATGTTGTGTATAATTTAAGGAAAATGTACAGATGAATGACTGTACTAGGAACAGTATGTTCTGGGACAATGACTAAACTCATGACTGAACAGAGGACAAGTAAGCCTTGTAATAATGCAACACATCTCTGGGAATGAAACAAAACAGCAGACATACGACACATAAACACTCTCAGAAATGAGTGCAAAACTATTTTTGAAGAACATCTCAAATGTTTATTCATGTTGTTCCAAAACCCTGATACCTTTGTTCATCTTTAAAACACAAATATAGATATTTTGGTCCCGACTCAAAGTCCAGAGAGGTATCAAACACAGTGTCAATACAGTTCATGTGTCTTCTGGATATACCGCAGATGCCCAAGCCACACATAAGTTCATCTGTTTGAAACGAAGCACAGGCTCATCTGAAATATACACCATCTGTGTGACCACATGCTATACAAGTGCACATACACTCTCAGAAATAAAGGTACAGGAGCTGTCACTGGGCACTACCTTTTCAAAAGATACATATTTGTACTTAAAGAATTCACATTGGCACCTCAAAGGGATATATTAGTACCCAAATGTACCTAAAACGTACCTATGAGGTACTATTAGAAACCTGTACTTTTATTTCTGAGAGTGTACATAGAGCATGCGCATGCTATACTGACATTGAGGAGAACATCCAAAATATCTTTATTTGTGTTCTCAGGGGTATTTGGATGACATTTAAGTATATTTTTGACAGAATTTTCATTTTAGGGTGAGCTATCACTTTTATTGAACTACAGATTCCACCGGATCCTCTATATTTAAAAGTGTCAGGTACCAATACGCACCTTCAGAGGTAGATAAGGTGCAAAGTCATCCCAGTGAAAAGGTAAACCTTCAAATGTTTTGCACATTTTTTTTCTGACAGTGACCATGGCAGCTACCTACTGATGACCCCAACATATGCAGATACACACAGAGTCCACGATGTGTAGGGATATTATCAAAAGCATCTTTATTGTTTGTACATGACTATATATTTTTATTGGAAGATTGTAAGATACTTAAACAAATGGAAATATTTATTTTAGAGTGTGTATTAAATTCATGTAAAAGTATTGATTTAATAAGTTTTTTTTTGGGTGTGAAATTCATTGACTCCCCGACGTCTTTTGTGGGCAATTCGGACGGTGATTGATTCTCCTCCTTTGAGATGCGCTTCTACGCTGCGTTTGCTTTGAAGAAGTCAGCGATCATTAGCTGACAGGTCGAATTCTCCTTCGCTCATAGATCACGCTGTATGTGTGTGGGCGCATCAAGAACACGAGCACGACAAGTGTGGGTTAAAGTCGAAGGCCTCCAGGAACACAAGTCGGCCAAATTGGGAGCCAGTTTCTTTCAGAGTCAGGCTTATTCAGTTGACAACAACAGCAGCCTGAGAGAAACCTCAAGGGCATGCTCGGGTCTATTCAAGAGGTATACCTCCAGGACCGTATAGCTGTTGTTATGTTTTTGGCCCAGCAGTCGAACTCCCAGAAAAAGAGGCCTGAGCCTCAGATAACTGTGAGGCAATATCTGTGACAGGCCGGTCTCGATTGAATGTGCTCAGCAAGTGAGACTGGGCCTTTGAATAGCTCGGGCCTTTCGCTTTAGAAGAGATGAGGTCAACCCACCATTGCTTTCCCAAACAAAGGTTACCACCGTGTAGTTGCATTTCTGCGACCCGCGCACCGTAACCCTCTGATCAAATGCTCCCTTTGTAGGCGCCGTAGAAAAGAAACATGTTATACAATGGTGGACCTGAATAATAACACAAGGAGGGGTCAGCTATCAAAAAAGGAAGCCCAGTCACACAGAGGGGGTGAGGAGAAACCAAGAGCGACTCGGGGGGGGGGAGAAAACGTTCGGTGGGGGTGTTATGGGTTGAGATGTGGGCGAGAGGGGCTGAAAGAGGGCAAACGGCTGGGAAGAGGCAAAGAGGGGCACAGACAAATGAAAAGGGCCAAAAAAGAGTGTCTCTCTGTTGAGGCAGTTGAGCATGACCATTGAGGCCTCAGGATGGGGAGGGAGAAAGGGAAGAAGAGACACTGAACAAAAATCACAGCACCGAGCTCTTCGCCCTGTCGCCTTTTTCCCAGGACTTCTGATTTGTCAGTTGGCCCTTGGACTGCATCCACGTGTGGAGCAATGTTTCGTGGCAGAGAAGCATCTAGAAGAGATTTGATTGACCTACTAAAAGTCTTTAAATTGGTGCTTTGTTCTGTTTGTGTCAAAAGACCACCTTACATGACTGCATCATTCAATAAATCAAACTTCCTTCATTCATTCATTCATTCATTTTCTTTTCGGCTTAGTGCCTTTATTAATCTGGGGACGCCACAGTGGAATGAACCACCAACTTATCCAGTATATGATTTACGCAGCAGATGTCCTTCCAGCTGCAACAAATCACTGGGAAACATCCATACACACGGTATGAAGGTATATTCGACACACGGTGGCTCGCACTATCGTTGCAAAGCAAGAAGGTTGCTGGTTCAAGATCCGCCGGGCCAGTGAGAGAGGTCTGGCTACAGACTCGGTGTAGATGCAATCTGAGCTGCATCCAATGCTTTTTAATGCCCTCACCTTACCCCACCCCTAACCCTACCCCTCACAGTAACATCATAGCTCCACTGAGTGCATTGTGTCTGACATTGCATCTATGAGCAATGCAATCTCAGCTTGCATCATAAAGGCTGCATCCAGATACTATTGTTTGGATGGGCATCCACTGCAAAAAATATATGCCAGAATAGTTGATGGTTTATTCCGCTGTGGCAACCCCTGATAAATAAAGGACTATGACAAAGGAAAATGAATGAATAAATGAATATTTGACGAACATAAAATAGGACCCCAGTCATACTTTCAGACATTACACTACACAGTTCCTCAAAATATGGTAACCAAATGCAAAAATACACTATGGTTTAACACTGAAGCTTGCTGACTTTCTGAATTTTTGAATCAATGTTCTTCACCAATTTTCTGCAGAGTTTAACTCCAACCATATCAAGCTCACCTACCTGTGGTTTTCTGATTCTGGAGACATTGATTAATATGTTCAGGTATGTATGATTAGGGTTGGAGATAAAATCTGCAGAAAAGATGATCTCATGGGCCCGATTTGAGAATCCTTTGGTAAAAAAAAAACATTAAATTCCTAAGGTTTACATGCTGCCCAGTCATTCTGAATGAGAGGGGTACAACAAAAATGTGTACTGAAATATGTTTGAAACTTGATGAAAGACTGTATCCCTACTTATCATACTCTATGTAATTTGTCCATTTTGACAAATCATTTACCAACTAAAGTTGACTAGTGGCTAAACTCATCAGGGGAATTTCAAAACTAACTAATGCACAAACAGAGCCAAGTTTTTCAATGAGCATTATGGGCACAGGCTAATGCGCACGTGGAGCCTATGCAAGAGAAAGAAAAAGATCTCTAATTTCTGTGTCATGATTTTGGTAAATAACTCACCTTGTTGGCAGAAGCTATTTATACAATCTCTGCTCATCAATGCTTGATTGACATAGACAACATTACTAAAAAAGCACTTTTGAAAACAGGCTTAGTTGTATGTACCCTCTCTCTGCCAAACTCATTCTTATTTCCCCATTACATATCAGATCAGAAATACATTTATTTTGAATAACAAGGAAATGAATATATTTTAACAATGAAAAGAATAAAAACATAAGTCCCTCTTTGGTACTAACAAATTAAATTTATCAGAGGTATATAAACAGCAAATTTATTTATTACTCATGCAACCAGCTGCAGGGCTTGGTTAGTCACCATTTCTTTTTTCTAGAGCGTGTCTTAACATTAGGACCATATATATGCAACTGGAGTTAATTTAGTTCCCTAAAGGAGTTTGAGCTGAGTATACATGCTTTCACCTAGTTCCAGGAACTGTTAAAACATTCCTCCACTATGAAAGTCCATCAAGGAATATTTGTAGTTTACAAAAGGGGTTCTTTAGATCTGGAGATTATACATTTCACTAAAATAAATAATTAGTCCTTTGGACTGTTTACTAAAAGAAAGAAATAACCAAACTATGGATACAAGTTCTGCTTTTACCAACATACCTCAACAATTCATTGTGTCTCAAATTGAAAGTTTTCACAAACATTTGCCAAAAAAAGTACACTGTAAAATGTAATTAGTTGAGTTTACTCTGGAAGCTTCTGGTAACTGATTCTTACATTTTGCAATAAATTAGTTAATAATTTCCGAGTTGATGAAACGTCAATAGAAATTTTACATCTATGTAAACTTTCTACTCCACAATTATTTTGTTTAGATTTTTTTTTTTAATGTCCAAAAGAAAAAAAAAGGTTCTTTTAAAATTAATTTATAAAGGTTTGTGGAAGGAAAAATGTTTCTTCTATGGCATTGAACTCCATTTAAGATCCTTTATTTAAGTGTTTTAAGTGTATTTTGAGTGTTAAGAAATTCTGTAAGCTTAAAGACTTTAATAAACTGAACTTAAACTAAACCCTAATTTCCTAATACACTTGTTTATGTATCAAAAAATAATAATAGTAGAAATCAAGTAGAAAATGACCACCAACTGATTGCTAACAAATTTAGGAATTTAAGGAATTTAAGAGAAAGGACTCCATATACATATGCATAACATTTATTGCAATTTAATTAAATCAAAGTGGGTTTTTTTATGTTTATACAAAAGCAAAATAACAAATAACAAAAATAGCAAATCAATGCTAAGTTAATAGTTCTGGATGCACAACATCATCACCACCACTCCATTTCTGACACCTATTTCAATGTTAATTAAAATCTACAAAATGGAAAGTTTGAATTGGGATAATCTGTAAGAATGGCAATGTAAATACAAGAATTTTCCTGTTTCGACCCTGTAGATCTATTTAGCAACTGCCTTAACCCTTGATGCACAGCATGATTCTGACTGAGTCTATGGCCAAATTTGGCAATAAATTAATTTCATCATTTAGTTTTCGAGGTGATGCTCAATTCACTTATTTTTGATTATCACAAACCCTTGTTTTCATTCTTCCATTTGAATCTTTTGAGCATTTTTTTTTTATTGTGATTACCAAATATTAATATTATATATGGGACTTTTTTTGCCAATGTGTTTAAAACTGATCTATAAATACAAAAAACTGTGCTCATACAGTTTTTATTAATAATCAGTATGATTTATGAACATTAAATCATTACTGGGATCACATGGGAAATGAAAAAGAATCATTTTATAGAATTCAGTTCATTTTTCAAAAGTAAAATAAACAAGAAAGGAACTTACATCATTCAAGTTAAATTTATATCAGAAATTTATTTCAGAGGTCGCCACAGGTCGTCAGTTTCTCTGGTAATTGTTTTATACAGCAAATGCCCTTTCCTGCCACAATCCACTGGAGAGTATAACTATCAGCGCTGGGAAACACTCATATTCACATACTGAGCTGATCCAATTCACCTATACTGCATGTCTTTGGACTGTGTGGGAAACCAGAGCACCTGGAGGAAACCCACACGAACATGGAGTGAACATGCAAACAGAAAGGCCTCCTGGTCCAACTGGGTCTCAAACCAGTGACCTTCTTCTGCGAGGCAACCATGCTAATTACTTAGCCACTGTGTTGAAGTAAATCAAAAATAACTGACCTCGCGGACATTTTGTACACTGATTTGTCAAGCTGCTCTTCACAAATATGCCCCTGTGTACCTGAATATGCTTCAATATGTCAAAAGCAATGTTTCAAATACTCAAGTTGCATTAACTGAAATCCCACGCCAACATGGGGAGAACAAGCAAACTCCACAAAGAAATGTCAACTGATCCAACCAGGACTTGAATCAGTGATGTTCTTGCTATGAGGTGACAGTGAACCACTGAGCCACCGGGTCACAAGCCAAGTAAAATTATTTATTGTAAATATTAAGTGCTCAAGAGTAATTTTAGGCTGCATTTGAAAACGTAACATTCTGTAGTGCATTTAGTCATTGTTTAAGGTTCCAATAATTTGGTGATTTCAGTCATCATTACGATACGGAGATTTTATGTCTTCTTGGAAATGCGGCATG